TGCATGCATTTGAATGTGTATAAAAGCTCATACTTTTATTTGTTTAAAAATAAAAAAGTGAGCGGCATAAATGAGCATAACTGAGGAAAACAACCGGTAAAACTTACAAATGCACGTTGTATACATTATCAGTCCCCTGGCATGAGAAATAACACCCACAAGGTTGCCAACTTAAAAACATCTTTTGAAAGCAACGTATAAAATGCAATTCAACTTAAAAAAATTTCGAGATTTTAATTAAGCTGTGGTGGGATTCACGATCCTATTTCAACGCTCGAGTCGCTAAAAAACTAAGCGAGAATTTTAATGAAATGCATATACATATTTCAACAGACATTACCGTTCATTTATCGATAACTTGCTAATTAGATAAACCAAATTCATATTTTTGCATATTATAATATATATATATATACATATATGTACAAACTTATAGTGTATAATATTTAGGAAAATTTAAGATTAATTTTTTGCTTATTCATTTTACTCTAACCATTATAGTTTTTCCATGAGTAAAAATAAAATAAAATGTGTTGTTTTGTCAAAAAGAATTTTATCAAAAAAATCAACTTATCTGGCATACATACATATGTAAATTATTTTATAAAATTTGAGTTTAGCAAAGGAAATTTTAATTATTGTATTATAGATTAGATTATTATGTAGAATTTGTTTTTTTTTTTGTGAAAATGATATACGGAATAAAAGTAGAAATATGTAATAATAGGATAACTTAAAAAAAAATATTTAATCCAGTATAATCTAATACAAGGAAATTGAGAGAAAAACATTTTAGCTCATATAATAAAAAAAACTATTCTCAAAACTTGGTTTACTAAACTATTTTTAATCATATGCGTCTGTATCATTAAAATAAGAATAAATTTCGATTTGATTTTCACCCTCACATTGAATTTTTTTGGTAAGCTGTGGAGCAATACATTTTTTGTCGTAGCTGCTATCAAATTTGCTCGATCTTGTGTGAACGGAATCGCAATCGAGCAACAACAAAGCAATTTATGATCGATGATTTCAATGTAGGAATTTATGTTTTATCCACGATATGCTCGTTTCGTTCTAAATATAGCAATTAGCCTTGTTAGTCGCCTCATACCCTTAGACATAAAGATGATATGTAAAGTGATGCAAGATAAAGACCGCGTGCGAAATAGATTGTGTTGGTGTGGCAATGACTATAAAAGTTTTGATATTTAGGGATGCTGTTGATATATTCCAGTACTCGTTATGCTTTTCTATATATAGTCTATGAAGTGGTGTACGAGTATTTTTCCGACGCTTTGTGCAGTTTCATTCAATGATTGAAAAAAAAGAACATCTATTTAATATTCTATTTCTTTGCCCATTGATTTCAAAATATTTAGGAAGCTATACAGCCAATTTCGATGTTTCGGTGATTTGAAGACTTCAAAAGCGTATAACTTTTTTTCGGTTGAGCTTTCAATAAACTTGGAAAGTATTGTCATTGTTTCTAAATAAATGTTTTCCTTGCTTGTTTATTTGTCAGAGATACTAAATCTGTTCCGTCTTCAAAAGCATATCTTTTTTGTCGCGTTTTGTTTTAACACTCGTTTTGTCAGCTTCTTAGCCAAAGCCAAAATTTCTCTTACTGTATTCATAAAAATTGTGTCTCTGAGTTACCAATAGAGCGTTACCCATACCTATTCCCATTGTGACCGGCAAAGTAATATTTCTTACTTTTTTAACAACAAAAATTTGAAAAAACTTTTTCAGCACTGGTATTTCGACCTTGTCAAATTACATTTGCCAGTTGGTAAAGTACAGAAGAATATTCACATTCACGGAAAATCCTATCTTCTAAATTGAAATAGTAGTAAAATCTTTTGAATGGTAAATTTTAATACTGAAGTAAAGTTTATTACCTCGACCGGATAGACTTGATAGAAGCACATCAAAACACATTTTCTTTTAAATTTTATATTAAAATCGTTTTATAAAAACAGAAAAGATATAACAATTAATATTTGTTCGATTTTTAACTTTCAAAAAAGCGTTTAGCTGAGCGTAAAATATCATGCCACATTGAGGCCTCAAAGTAAACTGATTGCAAAAATAACATATTTCTCATAAAGGTACCCATTTGATAGTTTGACAAAGGAACATATTTAAAAATTAGTTGTTCTGGTGAACGAATGTGTGAAAAATTAGAGGCATATAAAAAGTAAGTTTGAAAAAAGAGTAATTTATATGAGTTAAGGTCTTTTGTCAGACGCGTTTTAAAATCAAACAGAGAAATGTTGAAAAAAGACCACGATAAGGCAAAAATTACCGTTTTTAAAAGCTATGATTATACATTAAACCCTAAAAGTCTTCTTATATCGAGATAAGTTCATGCTTCTTCCTGCATTTATCATACATTTTATTTGAATGCATACAATTCATTTCAATTTCTCTTCCTCTGACTGTGGGAGTTGTATTCCCATTATGAGAATTTCGGCAAAATGATGCATCTTTATTTTGAAAGTTAAAAAAACTTCTTACGTGGCGACAAGAAAATAATTTCCTAGGCGTATTTGTTGTACCAAGTCCGTTCTCTATCTAGACGACGATTTCTTGAGCGACGCATATTCATATTGTGCAAAACCCAATGTGGCATTGTCTTATTTATCGTTTTATTTTTTAATCATAAAAATTATAAAAAAGTTAATCATTAATATTTTTAAGACCTGCTCATCGTCAGGTCTTTCAGTTTTATTTCGAGAGTTTCAAAACCGCTTTCAAAAGAGTCGCCAGAATAGCTAACTCTCTTAAAGTTAATCGATAGAACCTACAATTGCCCTGTTTATATTTGATTTAGGTTAATATAAAACAATATAGATCGGAGTATCACAATAAAGAATTCAGAAATAGACTTTGTGTTTTAAGGAATAATTTCTACTGATGCTAGACACAAAGACAAGAAATATAATGTCTAAAGAAAAATAGGCAAACAATGTAATTTTTAAGTGTTTTCCGACTTTTCCGACCATTAAAATGCTTGCAATTAGGCAGATGTCCTTAAGCCGTTGGATGAATCACTTATTCAGAAGGGTCAGAAGTAGATTTGCAAGTTGCAAAGGTAGTTTTTGGTTGAAGATTTTCACCATTTGCAGGAGGGCTACGGATTGCACTCATGTGTCAATCATAAACTGTAAAAATCAATAATCATCGCTCATTTCCGGAGGGAAGAGTTATGCAGCGCATAATGGAAAGTGGAAACCATTAAACTTTGTAATCCATTGCAACTCATTTTGATAAAAACAATATATATTTACTTAATAAATAAACTAAAGTCAGCGTTGTTTTTTTTTTTCAAAAACAAAATACAAAAGTAATGTAATGAGTGATCTATGCTCAAATCAGAAAGAGCAACATCAGTGCAAAGGCAAACAGTTCTTCTCTAAATACGCTAAAGCAGGCCTGTCCTAGCTGCAGCAGAGATAGAGTTTAGTATATCTACATGCATATACATATATACATATGTATGTACTCGATCTGTAAGCTCTACAACAATAGCAGAAATACAAACAGCTACGCAGCCAAGCAGCGCAGCATCAGCAGAAATACCAGTGCGGGCAACGAATATGGTACAAGGTGAGACAGCCAATAGACCTCCAATTTGGTAAATTCGAGACGAAATATAGACCAAGAAGTCAGTCATGTTAAAACGCATTGATGAATAAATGTATTGAATGCTCACACTTAGCTAAACTAATAGATAATAAAAATTTTCACATTGTGCCTCTTAAAAAATGAGATATTGATGAGACAAAAAAAAAGAATGAAAGAAAGAGTTTTTAATTTGATTTCTTATTGTGAGTAAGTAGTTAATTATACTTATATATATAATTGGCGCTTTGTAACCGCTCGAGCGATTTTCGGCCGAGTTCCTCCTCCAATTTGTGGTTTCGCGTCTTGATGTTCTTCTTACAAATGGAGGGACCTACAGTTATCTAAAGCCGCCTCCACCTGGCTGACGGCTTATTATGAGGGGCTTTATTTCACGTCAGAAATACACACTCTGAGGGGTTGACTTTCCATGCCGAGGGAGGACAAAAAAATTTAGCTTAATTTTTAACTTAAATTAATATTCTATAACTTTTTGGATGTCAGTATGACACCAGGTTTTGAACCCAAGCCTTCCGAGTGGCAATACTAACCATTCAGCGACCGCGGAAGCCAGCAATTAAATACAAATGTTTTTTTATTGCTCAGAAAAATATAATTCTGGTCGATTGGATATAAGTGTTGTTGTTGTTGTGGTAGCGGCTCACCAGCCCCACTTAAGGACAGGCCAATTAGTCTAAGTCCCCGAGTTCATTTAAAGGGAGGTCCCAGGAAAGAGCTGTTTCGATGGGTTGGGACCAGAGGGAGAGGTGGGTTAGTTGTGTCGGTCTTAAGGGCATGTAAAGTGGTATAGATTAGTATCGTCCGGGGATTCATTACATGCAGTACATACGTTGGATATGTTGGGATTGAGTTTAGATAAGTGGGAGTTTAACCTACTACAATATCCAGACCTAAGATACGCCAATATTACGCGGGTCTCTAAAGCCAGCTCGAGCTCTATGTGCTATGGGTGGTGATTTAACTCCGAGAACGGTGTTAACTGACTTCTAATGAATGGCGTCTAGTCGCTCCGGTAGCATCCCAACAGGAATTGCCTACACAGAAAAGCATTATGCACATTAACTCGCAGCATAGATGCTTTACTGTGCAAGTGAAACCCAGGCGGCAGCAGGATGTTTAATGTCCCGGTCCTAAGAGCGCTGATTTTCTACCCGGCCCAAATCATTTCAGCGGTTACAAAGGGCTATATTTTTTAACTGACATGGTAATATGCAAAATGTTTTGAAAATTTAAAAAGAAAAAAAGTAAATTACTTAGAGCTATAGAATTCATGTATAGACACTCTCGATTGGCTTATGTAAAATGTTATGGAGTCATCTTAGAATGTTATGTTTTGGAATTAATAGAATTACCTTGTGTCATCAAACATCAGGTCGATTTTCAATTTGTAAACAGAATTTTTGCTAACACTTGAATCTGCTTCCAAATGATCGTTGTCCAAGAGCCGGAAACCGGAAGAGTTAGCGCTTAGAGGCTTGCGTGAGTGTGTTGCATTCATTTTTGATACGGGTGTTGTGTCCACGGTTTTGCAAGTTACCATTGTTGGTAGTGTCGACCAGAAAAATGGAGATTGTTGCACTTTGTGATATTGTATTATTTCGTAAGTAGACTTGGCCTTTTATATAACCATTTTTCTACTGAAATCGTTGCTTTATTTGTTGATTTAAATCAAACTGTCTCACTTACAGCTACTCATTGCAAAACATTTTTAATGTCGTTTATATTGTAGTTCGCGAATTGTTTCATATTATAAAAATTGGGCTTCAATGAGATTTTTAATTATTTATGTCTTCATTACTCGTTTTATGTATGAATGTATGTATGCATTATACACATAAAAACACACATTATATAAAATACATTCATTGGTATATTTTTTTTTGAACTTCTCATACACGCATTGTATTCTCAATTATTTAAAGTTATTAATAACACAGATTGAATGAAAAATTATTATTTCTTATTTAATTTTTTTCTCCATCGCAGCAAAATATCAACCCACTACCTAACCAGCTAAGAAAAATCATACTTTTATTTTCTATTAGCAATGGAAAGATGTCTTTTGTTGGAGTTTATTCTCTGAAGAGACTCGATTTTCACTCAGAACAACATTCAATAATTTATAAAAAGCAGTCGCAGAGTAAGAGGTAATATCCTTACAGCTGGGTCCTACACTCGTATGTATATGCATATATTATATATTGCGAAATAAATGAATTGCTATCTGATTGAACTCTAAGACACAACAATGTCTGCGTTTTTTTTTATCAAGTACACACATTTTGTTGAAATATACTTATGTATGTATGTAGTACATACATCTCTGCATGCTTTTAGGTATACTTTCACTACAAAAATTAGCAATATAGAAGCAAACACATGCATCTGGATGCATGTACGAGTATGTACATACGGATACAATAAAAATGTGCATTTGTGCGTGACTTTGTGCGCTGAAAAATACCTCATGAGCGAACACCAGCAGACAACATATGTATGTACATTTGTATGTCTATATAGAGATGTATATGTATGTGTATGTATATGTATTCAGTGTAAGTATGTATTTTTATACATAACTCATTAAATTTGATATCATAATTTTTGATTTGTTTATTTGTGGTTTTTTCAGAAACAATGCCAATCGTAAAAAGTGCCGAAAACTTTGCACATACAACATACATATGTATGTATGTATATATGTATGTATACACCGTAATTAAATAAGTATTAACCTATGTATGTATATTTGCATTTCTATATACATATGTTCATATGTATGTGCTCATTGAGATTAAATTTAACTTCATTTTAATAACCACTGATTTATTGACAAAAATTTGAAAATCTAAAAAGTAAATTTAAAAGTAATTATTAAGAATTAATATTTCATTTTAGATAACAAACAAGATACAGTGACTCAGTAAAAGACAGTTTAAGAAAATTTACTGAACTCTATTTTCTTCTCTCTGCACAACCGATTGGTCATTACATTTTCCACTGTAGTAAAAATTGTTTGTTAAACCTTGTATGTGAACGGAATACATACATATATTGCAACAAGTATGAGCAATTTCAACAAAAAATGTGGATTTGCTACTTATGGGCCAGCATTTAAGCGCGTTGACTTTGTAAGTGGATGTTACAGAGGTCATTATCAGTATCACTAGACGACATCTTACGTACATACATACATAAATAAATAAATATTTGATTTTCAACACTTGAAGATGACAATGCTTTGACCCGACACTTAACACACATTCTTCTAACACCAACACTCAACACTAATAATTCACTATATAGTATATCCGCAACAACGTTTCCCAACACAATATGTTTGTACGGTTTATTATTATTGCTACAATTTTTTTTTTTCAAATGATGAATTAAATTTATTGTCTTTATTTCATTATAAAAATTTTTTATGTTTCAGCTGAGATGTATAGATACCACTTTTATTCCATACACACTTTTAACGGGTGAAATTCTACCGACACTGCTTCCGTAGGAGTGATGTGTTGTGGCGCATTGCTCCACTACGAATGCGCGCACGATATGTTGGCGACTAGCATCACAAGCTGAAAACAGAAATTTGTACGTATATTTACGTATTTACATGCATATGTACAAGAATATGTATATAAAAGATAGTTAGGAGTTCGCAAGACGTCGTATTCATCGTATTTATAATCGCACAGTCGGCGGTTGTTGTAACCCGGCGGTTGTTGTAAACGGGTGGGTAGCAGTGCGTGCTACCTTGCGGAAAGTCAGAGGAGCTCAGCAGAGAAATATGAAAAATAAACTTATCGAAATGATTTTGTTTCGTTTCGGCGCCAAGTTATCGAAACGAAATGAAATTGTTAATGTTGAAGCCGCACAAACTCAGCGTTAACGGTAATTTTAAAATGACTGGTTGCTATGATGTTAACAGCACACTTTAACATTGTCTGTAAACGATTTAGCATTAACGACAGCTTTTCGTTTGGGGCAAAAATGAAATTTATTTATAAAGTAGATATCTACTTTAACGATCATATTTCCATATATTTCAATCGAAACTATTGAAATTGTTTCATTAAAATGAAATGTATCGCTATTTACAAATATTAGGTCAAGTAAAAGGTTCGTTCGGTTTTCATTGATTTTTCAAAATATGACAACTTTGTGTAGGTTTGTCCGATTAAAGTCAAATATGCGCCGTTTTGATCGTAAACTTGTTTGCCAACATCATTATAACTCTCTGATAGAAGGTTGCGTCCCAATTAGCAAAAACTCGGAGAGCTAATTTCACAGGCCTCTCTTGAGGCCAACTTCTCACCATTAAGCGCATTTGCCATGGACAGAAAAAGATGGTAATCACTTGGTGCCAGGTCTAAACTGTAAGGTGGGTGCATTAGGACCTCTCGTCCGAGCTCCTGGAGCTTCTGGCGCGTCACCAAAGACGTGTGTGGCCTGGCTTTTTACTGATGGAACACAATTCGGCCTCTGTTGATCAAAGATGGCCTCTTCTGGATGAGTGCTGCCTTCACGCGGTCCATTTTTTGGCCGTAGAGGAGCAGCTCGTAGTAGATTATTCCTTGCCGATCCCACCAAACACACAGCTAAACGTTCCTGGCACTTTTTAATATAGTTTTAGATGTGAAGGAAAAAAGTATAAAGGAAATGTGAAATACCTAACGAAGAGGAATTGGAGAAGAATTTGACAAAAACATTATATTTTGTAAATAAAATGATAAATATTCACCGATTAAGTTCGTAGTATCTTGTTTGAAAAACGAAGAAGCCTTTTTATGAAATTTTCCATCAACAAATCGCAAAGTGGTGACTGTATGCCCTCCATAAGTTCACGAATTCCATTTTTGAGGTCTTGAATCGACGTTGACCTATTAGCGCGTAACCCTTATTTTTCATGTGACCCCATGTGACAAGCTCTCGGTGGCCAAGAGCGATCACCTCTTCGAAAGATAACACGGTCCGCAAATTTTTACTTTAAAAGATCGATGGTTTCGTCCTTTGTTGTGTCACGCAGTGCTGTTTTGTTGAAAGTAAATATTGTCCAGATCAATACCATCCAATTTCGCCCATAAAAAAATCATTAGTCAGTCTTCTATAGCGCAATACATTCACCGTAACTGTTGGTCTAGCCTCATTTCCGAAAAACGAAGATCCAGTGACGATGGCGAATCATAAACCGAACCAAGCAGTTACACCTCTTCATCCCGGCTTTTCAACAAAAAATCTTTTCCGAGACCCAGATATGGCCCAGATGGGCCTTATCAGCCAATATAATCTTTGGATGAAATTCCGCATTATTTTCATGCATTTCAAGGACCCAATTAGCAAAGAAACAACGGCTTGACGGCATGTTTTATAAGCCCTAACCAAGTTTTTATGCAAAATAGGTAGTAATCGTTTGTGGAAAAAATGCCAAAGAGGGAGGAGGAATGGCCAAATCTGGGTTTACTTTAACACTCTGGGTTATAGCAGTAATGTTCTAAGATGTTCTTGAGCGGCGTGCACGCATTTTATTCTTCACATCACTAACTTGTCACAACAGCTCCCATTTTTCCACTTATTTCTACATAGCAGTCCGCCAAGGTGCTTCACGCCGATCGAAAAATATTTTTGCTTTACGTTCCGTCTCTGCCAGGTTCGCGTCGTTGAAGTGTGAAACGTGAAAAAATTATAGCTTCAAAATGGACATCTCCTTTGATATCAGGCTAATCAAAATAATAACTCTAATTAAAATATCCTTTATGATATTATCATTGTCATCGCCAAGTGGTGTTAACTTCGTACGTCATTTGCTGAATGAACCATAGCCATAAGCCGATTTATAGTTGTTCTCAGAGGAAAGCCAAATAAAAAACCACCTGACTGTCTATTGTGATCAGAGTGGGTGTTTTTTTTTTGCTCCATTGCAGAAAAGAGCTGATTTAACAGTAAAAGTTTGGAAAACTAAATATTCAATGGGAATGCTAAAATGGGAAGACTGGCTACCAATTAACGAAGAAACTATCAAGCTCTCCAGACTGATACTTTTTTTGCTCGGTAAAATAATAATCTGTTAATTTTAAAAAACAAAATATGCGAAGAAAACATTATTTTGTAGATACTAATAGATTTATTTAATATTTACTTTCCATATTTAACAGTTCTATTACGCTGGCGTTTGATAATTGTACTGAAAATGTTGACCGAGGGTGTCACCGATCAAAGGTATGTCCCGAAAGGAGCTATCACGTCGTTATCGATGCTTAAGCCACAACTGACGATCTAAATATCATTAGTTTTAAAACTGGACCCTTAAGAAAATTTAATAGTTTTTACTAAAAAAATTTTTTGTCTCTCCATCAGTTGACACACTAACGATGTTGTTAAAAATGAAAGTTGAAATATATTATATTATACTCGTATATTGGAATTTTTCGGTTTGCTAAAACCAAACAGCGACGTTGTGAGAGCAGTAATAAAGTAAATTATGTTTAAATACCCTAAAAATGTGTTGTAATTTTTCAAAGTGATGTTTAACTGCCACTAACGGTGTCAGTATTTTTGCCGTTACTAGTTGAAATATCATTCGAAACATAAATCTTTCAAATTAAATAGTATTAAATAGTATACATCATTTAATATTTTTGAGTGAATGTATTGAAATATTGTACATCTGGGTATCTAATTATAAAGAAATCATTATTTTAGGAGTTTTTCTTTTGGTTATTGGCCTTAGGGTGAGATGATCAGCAAAATTATTATTTAATTAAAATTGTGTTCGTATAGATTTGCACTTCC